AGTAAAGAGGTAGTGTCAATAGAAACCCTAACTTCAATGACAAATATATATACCCCAAAAGCTACCGAAATCCAAGAAATCAATTATGGGTTGCCAATCTCGATAGGCCATCTCTGATTGAATCTCTTAAGCTCCAATTCTTTGAATGCTATTCACTCAATCGATTTGGCTAAATGATAATCGAAGTAGAAAACATGGCGTGAGAATATTGAAGGGGTGAAGAAGAAAGGGAAGACACGAGAACTATGAAGAAGATTGAGGAGAAGAATGAAGATGAAAAGGAAATGAACGAAGACTTGAAAGGAAAAGTAGGAGAGAGAGACCTAGAAGAAAAGTCTTGATCTCTTTTAACCTAAGTTTAAAATTTATGAAAGGAATCCACATATTTTTTAAACTATATAACTAACTTTTAGTTTTCTAAGAATATGTCAATTAGGGCAGTTTCTAATCAATTGTAAATTTCAAGAATTTTAACTATACCCTAAAATTTTTTAAAATTGAAATTGCCCCACTGCAAATTCTGTCTAGTAAACATGAATCCAAAATGACATGATTTGCTAATACGAATATTAAATGAGTCAGGTTAGTATCTAATACAAATAAATTGAAATGGTTAACAATTTAACTAGTATTGTTTGAATAAATGTCAGATGTTTGTCATTTTTTTATTAACTATTGATATAAATCCATGTAAAATGAAAGGATTTTTTTACATGTTTTTACTATTATATGGATTTAGGGAATTTCTAGTTTTGTCAAAAAACTAGGTGTGGGTTTGGTCGAGAGATAATGGTATTTTAGTTTTAGTTTTTTGATTCACGTTCTATGGATCAACTTGAACTTGACACGGTAATAAAAAGGCCAGGTTAATAACTAGACATCTGACACGATTAATTAAACAGGTTGGGTTAGGGTTAATTAGTGCTTGACATGAACTCAAAACGACACGATCTGAACACCACTTAACACGACTTAGTTGTCACCCGTTCTTGTGGAAGCTTGGAAGGGAGTGCTAGAGAAGAACTTGAGGTACAAGTAGAAGCACTATATTTTTTGCCTTCTTCTTTACTTGCATGGAAGAGGACACAAATTGCTGCCCCTTTTTATTAATCACCTCTCGGTTTTCCTTGAGGTACCTACACTTCCTTTACTAACCTTCTCCACCATCCATTGAATAGGGGATGGTTTATGGTTAAAGTGCACCTATTGATGCCATGAACAAAGGATTTTAATTTAGCACAATTTCGGTTTTCATGGGACCTGCACAGTAACTTCAGGAATCTCTTTATTTTCAAGCTTAATTTTGAGGTCTTCAGAATTTCTTTTGTAGCTGCATTCTCTATGCAGACCCTATCAAAGTAAAGCCGAATCCAAGATTGAGTGGGCAAATCAAGATATATCAGGTTGCTGAAAATATGTCTGAAGTAGCTCAATCCATTCTGATGTCATAGTTGCACTTTCAAATTTGGGAACTTCACCCAAATTGGTACCTTAGATTAAGTTTTCTTGATAATGTCAACCAAATTGGCACATTGGAGAAGTTTTCTTTGATGCTATTCTCGAACTACAAGGAGCTTTTGTCCATAAAAGCAATGGCCACCTTCTAAAATTTTTCCGATTGCATCTCTATTTTATAATTTCAAGTTTAAAAATCCACCATTTAAAATCGACACATCTTCAACATCTCCATTCCATATTTTAAGGGCCCAATTCCTCATGGAACATAATAATTATCTTGAAATAAGTAAATAACCCAGTAAGGCATTTGCCCATTCGGAATAACCTTTGTCGGTTATTTCAATAGGCTCTTCATAATACCCTCCAAATGGTTTCTAATGTTTTCATTTTTCAATTTCTTAAAGTTTTGGGGTTGATAAAAAATTTTGGAAGAGGCATTTTGGCAAAAAAAAATAATTATGTGAATGCTACAGAGTGCATTTGTTAGGGCTAGAAGAAGAGGCAGATTCAAATTTTGAAAGGAACGTTGCACCCATTTGCTTGGGATGGGGCGCAACTGTTTTGGATGGTTGCTACAAGGTTAGGAAGATTCAAAGACACTTGGCTTGCATTTGGCCTTGTGATTAGATTGCCTGTCACGTGTAAGCACTTGAAAGCACAACCAATGTTACATGGATCGTGGGCTGGTGTACTAGGTGGTATGGGTGTGGTGGGGATAGGCTTTGTTGGTGCGCTATTTTGTATCAAAATTCATTTTTGAACTCTTATTCAAGTTGCTTTTACTACTACTAGCAATACACTCCGTGCATTGCACGTCGAAGTTTTTGTTAAAAATCTATGAGAAAATATAAAGTATACTCTCATATATAGTATATGTGTAACTATATCAAATATTATCTTTTACTCCTGATAGTTATATTATATCATCTATATTATGCTATATAATCATAAATATTACACATGTGAACTACTTGTAAAAATTTTATATCTAGATCATTTTTTGTATTCCATTCATAACTATAAACATCTGATGAACTCATTTTTTCTGATTCTTTAAGCATTTGAAGGGTTATCGATTTTTCTTTCCTAGTGCCTTTCCTTTTATCCTTCTTGTTTTTGTCTTGAGTCGCAATATTTTTCCATTTTGAATTGTTAAATTAAAACGGATGCTAAAATGCAGAACATTCAATATATTTGCTCCTTGCACAATGAGACTGATATTTATTCATTATTATTTGTAACACAAAATAGGAGATGTATAAAGGGATAGTAAGGAAGAAAAACAATTTTGCAGCAGAAAAATATTTAAAAACCTAAAGAGAAAGAATGAATGAAAGATGAATGAATTATGTGTTTTTTGATGAAGATAAAGAGATACACATGTTGGTTTTTGGTCATTTGGGAATAATATTTTATTAATGGAGTTGTAGATGTGTATTTTGATTATTACTGAAAAAAAGAATAAGATTTTGTTTATGTATATGATGTCGAGGGTAATAGGGCTATTCAATGGATAAATTTACATGATATGATAAAATGTAATTTGGATATTTAAATGTCGAAGGATATAATGTTAATTAGGATATTTGAATACATAAGGACATGTTAGCCTTTATTATTTTTATGAGGGCAAGAGAGTGAACCAAAAGATTCTTATGTTAAGTTCCTTTTATTAGTAGTATAGACATAGATATGAGAGTAAATATCATATTATACATGAATATATGAATAGTGAAATTTCAGATTGAACTGTAATCCAAAATGTTGTAACATCCAATGGTTGCGAATAATAACAGTAAATAGTTAAATATTTATACTAGAAATATTCAAATCACAATAGATCAGAATATAATTTTAAAGGACACCAAAATAAAGAAATGAAGTATAAAATAGGGTTACAATCTGGTATTATGGGGTTATAATTTGGTATTAGGGTTACAATGCCTGGATCGTATATGAATTTGGGGTTAGGGTTATACTTTGGGGTCGAGAATTAGGGGGATCTAGGGTCTTGAGACTCCTGATCTTTGGATGCTTGGGGTACCTATGAACCCTGAGGACAAACTAACTAGATTTGGTGGTAGGTTCTTGTGCAGGCAGCAAGGGGGGTTCGTTCTTGGTGGCTGCATCAAGACTTATTGGATCTGGTGGAGCATGTCCTTGTGTCTTCCGCATTGTGGATTCTGTCCATGCCATCTGGCCTTTGACTACAATACACACGTCCTCAAGGTCAACCAGGTGGACCATTTTCAGTCTCGCAACATCCTCTTTCATGCTTAACAGCTGGTTGCCATTGTTGTCTCCTTCCATGTACCAGCAACCATTTTCAGATCTTCTCCTTTTTTTCCCTCTGAAATAAACCCCTTTTCTTCATGGGTTTTCATCTCCTTTCTGTTAGAACTCAACCCATAAAGGGTGAAGTTCCCAAGCGTGATGTTGAACTACTCGAAGCTTCCAATGGTGATGAGTTTTCTGCCTCCATTGCCGAACTTGCCTTCTTCGCTTCACAGCACACCTGTTCTTCACCTCCTTCCCTCTAGCTAGTTCAACCAAATCTTAAATGGTCCTGTGCTGGTAGTTTCATAAGGGGGGAAACAAGATTCGGCTTCATCCGCAACATACTCAAAATGATTTTCTGATCCTATTTGAACTCATTTGATGGAGAAAGTTGTAACTCACCCAAAGAAAGCTTGCTTGATTTCACCCTTTTCTTTTTTTTTTTTTTTTGAGGGGGGGGGGGGGGGGGGGGTATTCTTGGTCCTAGGTTTCATTTACATGGCTTCAATGAGGTTTTTTGAGAGAGGAAACTAGGGGGAGAAGCTCTCAGGAAAGCCATTTCTAGATTCTTTTCTATATTGTAACATATAAAATTGGAAAATCAGTTGACTAGTGTTTGTTCATTCTGGGCGTGGATGCCTGCTCTTGGGGGTTCTGTGGTGTGATTGTATGTAGCTTCTATGGCATGGGTCCCGTTCTCGTTCTCCCTGCATTTCACGAGTTTCTGTTTGGTGGTTACCTCATGCACGGATGGTGACTTAGCCTATCTCCAGTAGTTTTGTCCATGAGGTGGAGGTTTCTGAGTGTAATTGGTCCTATGAGATATACTCCACCAAATTGTCAATTCTTAAATGGTTTGGCATTCTGAGACTGTATTAAGTTGTGTCTTGACTCAATTTTTTCAATTTTATTTACCATCTTGGTGCAATGCTTTTCTTTCTTATCTTTTTCTGAGGTCATTCATCTTTTCCGTTATTCAAAATTTGGTGTTTCTACTGTGTTGATTTTTATTATCTTGACCATTTTCTCCAAATTTTTTTTCTCATAGCGGCATTTTCATTGCTCCGTAAACTCAGTTTTATAAAAGGCACCTGGGTGAATAAAAATAAAAAAAAAAAAAATAAAAATAAAAAGGCAACTGAAAGGTTTTCCTAAGAAGTTTTGCCACTGTTTTCGTGGTTGGTGGTATCTAACTTTGATAAGGCCTGTCCTTTTATAGGATTTGGGCAAACAGGCAGTCAGCTGCGAGGTCAAAGGAGAGGAAGATGAGGTATACAGCTGAGCTTGAAAAGAAGGTCCAGACTCTGCAAACAGAAACAACCTCATTGTCTGCACAATTGACCCTGTTGCAGGTAAAATTATTTGCCTTGCAGACAGTTTAGCAGTCTGCTTTAAGTGACTTTGGTTGTCGGACTTTATAATTGAGTCATTCTGCCAGATAGTTATCTGGTCCGTCTTTTGCCTTGTTTTGCTGAATTTTGTGTTTTAGATTTTACAAAAGATTCTTCTGGTGTGTGAGACAAGGATTATACATATGATATTATTTTCCTTGGCTTCCTTGTGAACAGAGAGATACAAATGGTCTTACTGCTGAAAACAGTGAACTGAAATTGCGTCTGCAAACAATGGAACAACAAGTTCACTTGCAAGATGGTAAGGATTTACATGTACTTTCTTTTGCGAGCTATTACTTCAACTCAACATCGTCACCCTCCATGTGCATGCATGTCTTCTTGCTTGTTCATTTTATTCTATGTTTGGAGAGGGAATGTGAAGAGCAATACATCATTCTTTACCAATTTATTTTGACAGCGCCATGCAACATTGTTGAACGATCATGGCAGGCTTGAATGGGTGCGTGAATAGAACATGGTTTCAACACAATGCAAGAACGTTCTAGACATCAAGCTGACACTTCACATGCTTGAACTCTACATAGCTCAAACAAAAGTTGGGTGTTAACATTTTGATCCAAGAGATGCAAAGCACAACACACTTGGATTTATATTTTATTTGACCATTGGAGAAAAAATAAATAGTCAACTTGTTTTTTGGATATGTAGGATATAATATACAGTAAATAGTCGTTGAAAATTAGGAGAGAAATGGAAGAAATGCAATTTTGAATTTCTAATATTTGGAATTCAAGTGCATTTGAAATTGTTACGGCTGGGTTGCTGAAATTAGTTCGTTGGTGCTGCATGCTTTTCGCATTGACATCACAAGTCAAGCACACCCAAATAGGTTTTCCTTTTTTCTTTTGGTCAATAAGATTTCTTAAGCAATTAAAATTCTCTACGGAAGACATAAAATTTTGCCCAATATTCATAAAGTGTGCCCCAATCCAAGGCTCATGCACCTCTAGTAAAGCAATGGTGAAATTGTCTTTCTTCCTTCACCTATGAATAAAAATGTATCATGCAGCTTCTTTTGATAATGACTTTGCCTCTACTTACCGAAAAAAAACTCTCTGAAGGTACTAATTGTTGCTTTGCTTCTATTTTTCTGGTAAATAGCGTTAAATGATGCACTGAAGGAGGAGATCCAGCATCTGAAGGTACTAACCGGCCAAACGATTCCAAGCGGTGGTCCTATGCTGAACTTTTCTCCATCTTTTGGTGCCAACCAGCAATATTATCCAAACAACCAATCTATGCACACTATGTTAACTGCACAGCAATTTAAACAGCTCCAGATTCATTCTCAGAAGCAGCAGCAGCAGCAGCAGTTTCAACAGCAACAAATGCACCAGTTTCAGCAGCAACAACTGCAGCAGCAACAAGCTGGAGACTTAAAAAATGAGAGGTTGCCTGCCCTCTAACGGCCAGAAAGACAATGCTTTGGACATCAGTGGCTCTAAATCGAAGAATTGAGGAGGAAAATTGGGATGTCAATTTGGCATCGGAGGATCATTATATATTAAATCTTGGTTGAATCTGTCGTCAGATAGCTTAGCTTTACTCATTTGTTAACATATCTTCATAACCTTGTCTTCTAGACTCAACAAAATGGAATTTCAGTTGATGATACGTGAGGGGGTTATTCGTTCATATTTAGTTATGTAGAAATTTGTGCCGTGTTTTTTGCTAGCCATAGTTAGTGGTAGTCATATTGTATCGTGGCACCTGTAGTAGGACAAATGACTTATCGTGATGCTTACGATGTCTCTATATCTGACATTCATCAAGCAGGCCATTTGGATTTGCCAGGGTCTTCTTCGGGTGCAGGGTTCTTATTTGTGCTCCTCACAGACACATGCACACACACACACACACACACACACACGTGAGCATTTATGGGTATCCATCCATGCACACGTACTATTTGTCCAGGCCTCTCGATCTTGAATTGAAATTTGTCCTGAAGCTTTCATTGTGATTGTGTCTTTAAATTAGCTACTAGCTTATGAAGGCCAATCTTAAAATTTATTGTGATGTTTCCAGTTGGATAATTTTCTCTTTTTATTCCTACTTGTGCCTACGTTCTGTAGGAGTTTGAAGGATTCATCTGGTCAACAACGGTTTGTATCAGTGAAATGGTCCTGCATATACAAACAGAAAAAGCTTTGTCGACGTGAAAATAGAGACATTGCGCTTCCAAAAAGTTTTTTGTTGAAGGCGTCTTTTGCAAATACAAAGATTACCTTTAAATCCATTAAAAAATGTGACTTTAAATTACGTTTTGTTATAAAATAAAGAGAATATAAAATATAGAATTGTAAAGAGATAAGAGACTACATAAATGTTAGAGAATAGAGCTTCTCGACTTCTTGTATTTCTCAATTGACCCAAGGTATATTAATGGGTAGTGGGTTATAGGCTAATCCACTAATATCCACTAATTTTCATTTACTTTGGGTACTAATTAGAGGGTTAAGGACCATTCATTATATATACAATGTATATACAGTATATATATACTAGTCATAACTCGTACTTGAAGGCACGATACAATATAAAATTTGAATGTTCAAAAAATCGATCATACTATATTAAATAATAATTTTTCTTTTCTTCATTTATTTGGTTACATAATTTAAAAAATATTTTTACCCATTATTTTTAAAAAAAATATTGACATGTAATTTGACAAATTTTTTCAATATGTGTATACTATTGAAGTATAGATAATGTTTGGAACATAAATTATGTTAAACTACAAATTAATCAAATATTCAATGATTAAACATGTGATAGAAATGAATGATGACATGGTTTTGAGAGGGAAAGTATGTATGGAACAAAATTCCAAACACCTAACTATTTTATTATATATATATATATATATATATATATATATATATATATATATATATATATATATATATATAATGTTATATTTACAACACTTCCCTTGGATGACTACTATGCTAAGATAATATGTCTCGTTAAAACCTTACTATAAAAATCTTGTGGGAAAAAACCCAATGAAGGAAAAATAGTACATATTCAAATGAATCTTAAAATAGTGTTGGATGCACTAATACTGCCTCATTAAAATTTTGTTAGAAAAACCCAATGAGACAAAACTTAGACGAATGAAAAAGAGTACAATGTGTATATGTCTTGTATCTTGATGTGGATACTCTCCCTGATAAAATTCTTCATGATGAAATTCTCCCCTCTGATAAGAAATCAACTAGAGTTGTGACGCCCCTAAAATCGGGGGTCCTTTTTCAATCGTTGACCACTCGTCAACCCGCGGAAATACCCGTGCTTGTCGCACGACTCGACATCATGTTAATCGTATCCCTTTAACCGAGATCATAACCCACACGTATAACCCGTGTTCCTTTAATCATTTAATTCAATGGAGGTCCAACGTACCTCAATATACCTCATTTAATGTCCATTTGTATCATTGGAACTAAAAAAAACAAAGCTCAAAGGTTAGCAAAACAATTTTAAAATTTTCAAATTTTTGGAAGAGCTATCGGTAGAAGTTCTACTTGTAAGCTACTGGTGGCTTTTTCCTATTGGACAGGTACTATCTGTTAGCTACCGGTAGGTTTTGCCTGCTGGACGTGTACTACTTGTTAGCTACCAATAGGTTTTGCCCAGAATTTTATGTTTCATAAGTTTTTCATTTCCAACTCATCCCAAATCTTCCCACATCTATCCCAAGCATGTATAATGAAGTTTTCTACATTATACACAAAGCACACGAGTTCTATTACATGCCATTTACAAGGTTACATGTCAAAATAGAATTTTAACAAATGTTTACACCAAACTTGTATTCAAAAGCCACAACTCGACTTTTTTTCACCCAAGAGGCCCCGAATGCAAGCCGTCCGTTGGAGTATGTCCCGCACCTGAAATCTTTCTCGTATAGGGTGAGCCAACACCCAGTACAATGTTTCCTACAGAGGCTACTCTCCAACCTAAGTGCATATGCAATGTTCACATGCAACATTTAACAACAACAATCATTCCAACCAACACTTAAGCAAGTCAAGGTTGGAATCTAACATACCATGCCATGAATTGAGATGATACCCATTCATGCAATTTACCCGAGCTCTTCCTAGCTCCACAACACATGCAATGCCAATGTGTATTAAAATCGAGCTTTTCTAACTTCGGCTATTTACCTTCACCCCATGCTATGCAGTAAGTATCAAAACTGGGCTTTTCAAACCCCCGCCATTTTTGTAACACAACCAATGACTAACTAAAATCTCCGGGTCTTTCTTGGGGTGGGTATTTATGGACTTACACCAACGGTCACCCAACCGACACGGAATTCATGGACTTTCACCAACGGTTTCGCATACACCGACACACTTTTATGGGCTCTTATACCAACAGAAGTGTGTATTCAAATACCGGGTCTTTCACCCGAGAGATAGTCTAGCCCTTCTTGATACCCTTACCCAATTCTTTTTCATGCAACAGTGTGACTCAGCCAGATATTCAATCCAACTTCCCCGAGCCCACCCATCATCCACCTACATGGTGTTTGATGCCAACTATGCACATACACCCATAAAATGCGATGTTTATGTGCATATGTAATGTAATACATCATTGCTATTTTAACATCATGCCCACATGTAATGAATGCCACATGAGCAAAATTAACTACATTCAAACAAGTTCAAAGGCAATTTATATCCGGAGCATATAATTACCAAACTTTCTCATAATGCTATATATGAATGAACATATATCCACATTTCATTTTCAACAATAATTCACAAGCATGTTATTGCATAACATATGCTAACAACATACTTAATTCTCAAGGCATACAATAAACACATAACATGTCCACGTAACCCCCAATTCCATGGATCACATTGAGTCTAATTCACAACCCATTTTAAGGTAAAATTTTATTTTACCCAATTTTAATACCCATTTCATCAATTTTCACAACATAGGTAATTATAAAATCTATTTATCAATATACTCATTACATACTACACCCTAGGTTGTAAATAAATTCGAGTAGGAAGGAACCCTACCTCTTGAAGCGTGAAGAACGACTGTAGGAAGTCCCCAATAAATCGCTCCTAACTCGAATTTTCTACTCCCAAAAATTCTATTTTTTAACCTTCGGTGAAAATCCTCATTTTTGGTGCATAGGCGTAGCCCTTGACAAGGAGATCAAATTTTTCTCTTGGCCTGAGTGGATTTGAGCGACGGAACATCGTAGATTGTAGAGAGAAGGTGGAGGATCCAAGCTCTTTCTCTCTCTTTTTCTATCGGCTAACGACTGGACACAAATGGGGCAAAAAACTCAGATTTTACCCCTATTTATAGTCTTAGAATACTTGACCCATATTGTGCCACACGACCCTCTTTTTTCGGGTCTGTTTTCGTCCCAAAATAATTAAATTTCGTCCCGATTTAAGTTCAAAATATTTTTATTTTAAATTTCATTTAATTATTTTCCAAAATTTGAAATTTTATCTAAAAATCTTATTTTTGGGTCACCCGAGACTCGACCACCTCGTAAAACGTAAAAAATTTGACTATCTCAAAATTCGATGAAATTTGACGTAGTAACTAGATTTCGCGAGACGAATCCAGCGGTGAGATCCATTTCATCATCCGAGATCTAAAAAAAACTCAGGTTTTCAACTTGTACTGTAGTAACAAAATTATCGTATTGCCCTTGTTTACAAAAGTTTAAATTTACCGGGTTTTATATTTTTCCTCCCTTAAAAGAATTTCGTCTCTGAAATTCACACACACACACATACACTTAACCGCATGCATATGCAATAATGACTTTATACATAAAATCATAAAACTTGTACCTCTATCCTCGAACAGGAACGGATAGTTGGTACGTATAGTGTCCTCACGCTCCCATGTCGTCTCCTCCATGCCTCGGTGATGCCACAACACCTTCATTAGGCTCATGATCTTGCCTTGCAAAATCTACTCCCGGCTATCCATGATACGCATCGGTCCATCCTCAAAGGTCCCATCCGCATCAATAATCATTTCACCCCCAATCCACTACATGTGTCGGATTTGGAGTATACTTCCGGAGCATAGAGACATGAAACACCTCGTGAACACCTGATAGATTTGGCACTAACGCCAATCGGTAAGCCACTGTACCCACCCTCTCGAGTACCTCGAAGGGCCCGATAAACTTTGGTGACAGCTTCCCTCATTTGCCTAACTTGACCACTCCTCTCTTAGGCATCACCTTCAAAAAGACGTGATCTCTTACTTTAAACTTCAGAGGTCTCCGCCGTTTGTCAGTATAGCTCTTTTACCAGTTCTGAGCCGTAAGAAGATGCTTCCATATCAAATCCACCTTTTCTGAGGTGTTGGCGTCTCTAATCAAATTCGGACCCGT